GGGGAACGTTTGCTGCCCAGAGCGCCCCAAGGGATGATGAGGTTGAATGGTCATAAAGTACTGTGAGACTGTTTCAGGCTGGACATGAGGAAGAATTTCTTTACTGTCCGAGCCCCCGAGGTCTGGAACAACCTGCCATCGGAGGTGGTTCAAGCACCTACATTGAACACCTTCAAGAGCAAATTGGATGCTTATCTTGCTGGAATCCTATGACCCCAGCTGACTTCCTGCCCTTTGGGTGGGCGGCTGGACTCGATGATCTTCCAAGGTCCCTTCCAGCCCTAATGTCTATGAAATCTATGAAATAGGGTTTTGCTTGTATCTAGATAATGAGATGGATTGGATAGCTCACGGATCACTAACAGCCATCTGTTTTGTATACCAGAGGTGGCCAACAAGTGGCACATGGCAGATTGGAGAGAGGGCAGGCAGGCAGTACAGTGGCAGATAGGGCTGGAAGCAGAAAGCAGAGCAGCAGACCAGGCAGGGATCAGAAAGCAGAGTGGCAGATTAAGCAGAGGAAGAGAAACGGAGTGGCCCTTAGGGAGTATGTGGGGTTAATTTGCGGCATGCCTCCCTCCACTGCCATAAACAGTGATGGTAAAGCCCCAGCGTAGTGTGTCTGAACAAATTCATGTTCTCCATTTAAATGTGAATTCTTCTCATTGGTATTTTGCTTTTATTCAGCTCCTTTTTGTTGCAGCCTTTCTAAAAGAAAGCTAATCCTCCCCCCCAGCCATCCTTCCTATTTGGAAACCAGCCTGAGCATTTAGAAACTAGATCTCCTGCTGCTGGCTTCCTGTTTATCATCATACCTGGCACCAGGGAGAGCAGTAGAGGTAGTAACCAATGTGCACACTGGCAGATAGTGTAACGGGCTATCTTTGAAGGATTTGACCCCATGCCAGCATGGCAGGAAACAGTGCCTGCAAAGCAGGGAGTAACCTATTTAGAAAATACCCTGCCTGTGCGTTTCCTAAAGCCCGAGCTCTCACTCTTGCATGTTCTCAGAGTAAAGGCACCCAGTTATAGCTCTTAATTATCCAATTAACTAGCTCCAGTGGGTTCTGTAACTGTAAGTAAATACACCATAATTGTAGAGAATTAAGCAAGCTTCTGAAGTGCACTGTACTGACAGTGGGAAAACAACAGGCTGCTTACTTCTGATTAACTTTCCATAATTCAGACTCTGTGGAGCACAAAATGAGGAGTTAAGAGGGGAAGCAGAAAGGTGGGTCGATATTCCTAAAACATCACTTCTGCGTTCTTGTTTTTCTGTGGACTAATATCATTTTTCTATTTTCAACTTCCTTTATTGTTTGAATTTCTTAGCATATTCCCTTAAAGCTGTGTAGCCCCCTGTTTTGTTCCTTGTTTGTGTAGGAATTGCATTCTGCTGTGGGTGTGCGTGTTCCCTTTGCCTTGAGTAGAGTACATGACTAACTGCTGCTAATCGGAGTTACATTTCTTTGGGCTTCTCCATCTTGAACTTGCATCTCAAAAAATAAGCTGAATGCTAAAGTGGCAGGATCATTTCCTGCACTGGCCTGAGGCCTGATGGGGGAACTTTCCTACTCCATCACCTGCTGGTAGGAAGGAATTCCTCCTTTCCTTGTACCCGCTTGAATGTCTTCTGTGGGGAGTGAGGATTTTGACAGTTATCAGAAACCTGTAGAAACCAGCAGCTCTGGCTAGTGTTTAAAATAATAGCAGCCTCTAGTCTCTGCTTTAGGGTAGAGTTTCTTATTTTAACTCCAGCAGGCCTTTTAAATCATAAGGACTTGCTTTTCTTGCATCTTCCTGCCTCTGAATCTGGTTATATCTGTGTATAAATGTTTTCAATAAGAGATTTAAAATTCACTTGTGTCCCTTCCTGCTAATTGCCAGTGGTGATGGTAACAAATCAATTAGTTCTTCCTTTTGGCAAGTACATTGCTTGCAAATAGCAAAACTGAATGTTTTGTTAGCTTTGAGCTGCTGTAATTTGTATCCAGAATAATTCAATTATTACCACCTTGCAGAGCTGTCGAGGTATTTCACTGTAACTAATAACTTAAACCAATATTAGGTCGCAGTATTACTAACTTGATGTGCCATGGATTTTTCAAATGCTGTTGGAGCCTGTTATATCATCCCTATTCACAGTACAGGCAAGGCTTTTTTAACTGTTGTGAGAGAAGTATGTCTCTCTGCCCCAAGGTTTATTGTTCCCACCAGCTTTGCATATGTGCTGGGGGCATGTCTGGGAGAAGATGGCAGCTGATAAATTGAGGAAATATGAACTATCCTTCTGCTTGAGTGAGGCATAAATTCCTTGCACTATACTTAAGCATGACCCTCCCTTTGCATGTCACAAAGGGCAAGGTTGCTGCAAGTGTCTTTGTTTGTAATGGGCTGTGGTTGAGTGGTAAAAGCCCATCTTTTTCTCCATGGTTACTTTGCAGAAGGGATAAAATGATTTATCCTGAGAGGCTGGATGGCTCAAGGAATACCAAAGCCTTGATCCTTTCCTCATTTGTTTGAATGTAACTATGGTGGTGTTAAATCAAAAGGTGAATTCATATATTCAGTAGATGTTAATATACCCGATCCTCACAAACTAATGTTCACATCATATTTGTAGGGGGGCCCTTAACTGAGCCTCACAGTAGAGAGGCCAGCCAAGGATTAAACAGGCCAGAAATGATGAACAGACGAGGTCAGAGCTGGGAGGTTTGACCTGGAGAAGTTGGCACTGCTTTTACCCCTGCCCATTTTGTTCTGTGTCTAGAAATTGTCAGTGCCCAGCACTTCTCATCCAGCATAAAATTAGCTAACTTAAATACATTTTCCTTCTAAAAGAACTCATATGCACTGAATATGCCCCCTGCATGAGCCCATCTGTCAAGCATTAGTAACCAGAGGCATGGCTGTGAAGGGCTAACCCCCTCTGTCCTGTTCCCTCTGACAACTTTCATCCCTCTGCAGTTATTCAAGTGTATGATTGTAAAAGCCATGCCGGAGGTTACTAGGGCAGTGCAGTAGAGATGACCAGAGGGCTGGGGATTGATGTGCAGAATCGCTTCAGATTCACCTGGGATGTAGTGATCCAGCCTTCTTCTTGGCTGGAGGCTGCCCAGTTTGATGGAGGATGATGGGAGGTATAGCACCCGCCTTGGAGAAAAGCAAGAAAACTGCAGAAAACCATGGCTGCAGCTCCTGAGGCTGATTCTTTATTTTTTCTTAAAAAAGCAAAAACTTTAGAAAATATGACTCATGGTTATATCATGAGAGTGCAAATCTGACAGCTCTCCACAGCTTGTACTAAATCCTTCCCCACAGCCAATGTGGGCAGTTGTGCCAGACCTGGGGGGTTGTAGCCCCTTCCCACAGAGGGCTTTCATTCTCAACGAGCTCTTTTGAGACCACCACACTTACTTCCTGTGATTATGTGGGGAACAGTTCGGTGTATAAAGGTTGTCTGGATCACTTGAGGGTCCTTCTTTGTTGTCATGCATAGTACAAGCTGTTGACAGGGCAGTGAAAACATTACACATACTTTAATTTCCCTGTTTTGTTCACTCAAGAAGCCTCATACGTACCCGAGGCCAAAACTGCAGATGTTTGGAAATGTCTCTCAAGTGTTTTTGTCTCTCCACGTATTTTAAGGAGACGCTGGAAGAAATACTGATATTGAGCTTATAATGTAATCAGCGCTCTTAAACATCCTCTGTAACATACTGTCTTAGGCAAACTTTGGATTGCTATCGCATTGCAGTTCTCAAAGCGTGTCTGGAATTCGAGGCGCACATTATTTCTGTTTCAGAAAATGAATTGGTTGCAATGATGCAGCTTCGAATTGTGAAGTTAAACTCTCACGTCAAGCTCTGTCCTACTTTTACCAGGCCCTGCACATGCTCAGGTAGCCTGCTGTTGTCCTGCTTTTTACCAGTCCTTTTCTTTGAAAAATTGATTCCTGTAAAGCACCTGGAGCGGAGGAGTTGAATAGCATTTACCCAAAGCCTATTCCTGGCTGCAGCTGAAGGAATGCCGTTAACTGAGTGTATTCCATCAGTGCACGACTGGCGTGAAGTCTGCACTGACACATCTGCTACTGCTCCCAACCTCTCTTTGTGACTCAGATTTGATGGCTGTGTGTGCCCAAACCAATCATAGCTTTTAGCAGAGCTGTCACTGTAGTCCTAGGAACTAATTTCTTGTTTAGAGCCGTTTGGCATTGCTGATGCTGTTCTAACTCATCAAGCTGATGTTGAAAAAACTTGAGTGATATGTACTAGTCTGGGCAAAACTTACAGCTCAGAGATGTACACATTCTCTATTCCCTGCCCCTTTTTCATAAAATATGGGCTGGAAAGCTGGACCTGCTGGTACACTTACTGATCTCACCAGATACTTCTGCTTCTGATCTTTGAGATGCTTTCTGCCTTCCCCTGGCAGTTTTCTCTTCCTCCTCCCTCTGGCTTGGCTGCTAGGTAGAAGTGAGTCTTGCTGGCAGCGGTCTGGGTAGCGTGGGGCATTCCCCTTACCTGGCACTAGGTCCTCAGTTTTCATGACACTGAGCTCTACAGCAGTTGGTCTCCTTTCCTTCTTTCAGGGCTAAGCTGTTTCTCCACTTTCAGTGAGTGAGAGCAGGCTGCAAGGAGGGTGCACTCTTTGCTGAATGGTGGGCAGAGCCATAGTTTATTCGGCTGAATTTGACAACGGTTGGTTCAGAGGGGCAGCACTTTGTGGACCGAAGAATCCTCCCAAGTGATAGTTCAGAGCTTACTGTGTCCCAAGTTGCTACTCTAATTAAAAGCTGATATCGTACCATAAACATAAGTAAATGAGAGCTGCTCACTCCTGATGCATTAATATCGCTGCTGCTTTCACAACCGCTGAATCCAGTGATCCACTGACCCTGGGCAGCTTCTGGCAAATGGTTTGTGGAGCTGCGTTCAGGTTGTTTTCTGGATGGCTGAAACCTCCAACTGATTCATTTATTTTGATCTCTCATCAAGGTGGCTGCAATTAACCCTAATCATCCACTTGCTCAGATGCCTTTGCCCCCGTCCATGAAGAACTGCATTCAGCTGGCAGCATGCGAAGCCAATGAGCTGCTCCCTATGATCCCCGACCTGCCGGCTGACCTTTTCACATCATGCCTTACTACACCGATCAAAATTGCTCTGAGGTGGTAAGTGTCTCGCCTGTTCTGGGGAGAAAAGTGCATGGGCTGTGAGGCTTCTCTGTTGAACCAATAGACTTGTTGATCCAGATGCTTTATGCGCATTACAGTTTCTCTGCAGCACTGAATTACAGGATTTGAAGCATGCACCTGGGACAGCATTTCATTAATCAAAGGCAGGAAGATGAATATATTCTTATCTTCTATTTATTACATTTTAGAGTCCAGGTGGATACTTGGGTTTGCTCGGATTAAGGATCTTATTGTGCTGGAAGTTAAAGGTTATCTGCTTTTTCACGGAACAGAAACATCACCCAGTACAATACAAGTTCTTGTAAATTATCTTTCGTACAAGCTATATCCCAGGTGTTTGCTCCATGTAAAAGAATACAGTTAAAGATCTGCTTTAGCAAAGGAAATTGAGAGGAAAACAAGAGAGAGAGATGTTGTGAAATGTTCTGTCTGCCACGTTGACTCAGCAGAGAGAGGAGCCTTGTACCGGACAGCAGTTCTTGTGCAACAGTAGAGAGATTTGGGGTGCACAAAGAAAATACCAGGGTAGGACAAACATCTGTTGTGGGGAGATTCAGTTGTAAGTGCCATGCTTAGGGCCCTGGGTACCAGCATGCACCAGTGACTAGAAGGCTCATGGCTAATGAAAGATCATTTCATTTAGTTGTCCATGAAGGTTCTGGGAAAAGTCCAAAGTCCTTGGACTAATTGAGTTGCAATAAAAAGGTGCGAGGAAGCTAGCTTTAGCATGGGCTATTTTGTCCTCCATCTGTGGTGCTAGTTACTAACTTGCTTAGGGTAATGGGCTTTCATCCCTGTATCCTCTAGATAAATGCCCATATCTAAACTGATAGCAGCAAAGCCCTTGTCACATGGGGCTTTGACTTGATGCAAGCGCTAGCAAGATGTTTTCTTCCTCTTTCTGTCATGATTGTAAATTTTATGTTAATGAAGAGCCTGCTGCTCACCTGTTTTTTGTGAGTGACTGACATTTGCGGGTTTATTTGCCCAGGATGGGAGACAAGCTGCTTCCTCCTGCAGATGCTACTGTTCTGGCTTATTGCAATCAAGAGGTGTGGAGTTGAGCTGTGTGAATAATGGATTTTTTGTTCAGGCGGCCAAAGTGGAAAATTGGAAAAAAGGAAGTTGCTTTGAGTCTAAATTTCTGTGTGTGTCAGTTAAAGGGGGGAATCATTTGAGGCTAACCTGAAATGTTTTGTTCTGAGTTATTTGACCTTTACACACACGTGCACACACACACATTTAATTTAGCTCAATTTTTAAAGAAAAATGACACTTCAGAACCCAAAGACAAAAAGTTCTGCTTAAAAAATGTCAATGTGAGCCATTGTAGCAGAGCCAAAACTAAATGTCTCGTTTTGAAAATGTCCAGGCAACATGCTTGAACATTTTTCAAAACTTTCTCTCCATTTTTTTTGGCCAGAACAGTTTACTGGATTCGATGTAAATTCTCAAACAGTTTTGGTCCACCTGAAACTCCATTTACTGTTGGTAAAATAAATAAATTGGCCTGCTTTAATGTGGATCTGGAACTACTTTATAATGTTAAGTGTATGTTCTTTGTGTAAGTGGAAAGTGGGTAGTTCAATCAGATGGCTGCATATACACAGTAGAAGGATAATAGCTTTGTGCATCTCATTGATCCACTTTGAGGGATGACACTAGACCCATTTGGTTTAATGTTCATCTTCAGCTTCCTAACAAACAGATTAATTCGTTAAGGAGGGTGATCACTGTTTGTAAATGCAGAGGCATCAGAGCCTGGATAGTGAGACAGAGCTTCAGAGGAGCTAAGGACTTTGAGAGAGTTTGCAGTAAAGAGGGCTCTGCCTAACATCTCTGACAAGTGGGGTGGTCAACCTCTGTTAGGCTTGCAGGCAAACACTTATGGTTTCAAAAGTCCTTTTCCTCTTTGCTTTGTTCCTTCCATTCTCATTAATCAATACTTGGATTTAAGAGAGCTTTCTGGACTCTGTAGTGAGCAACTGTTGGTTACAGCTCCAAAGGGAAGGCTTGCGGGTGTTGAACCTATTTAAGACTGATGATCAACCACAGCTGGTCCTACATGGCCCAGCACCTGGTCAAAATATGAGAATCGGGGGATGCCACTTCCAGACAAGTAAAGGCAAAGACCTAACATCTGAGCAAATCCAGATGTTGCGGCCAGAGGCTGGGACAGTGGTGTGGCTAACCTTGTCACCAGAAAGCGCTTGTACACAGCTGGGTTGACTGCAAGGCTCAGTGCTTGCCCAGATATTGAAACCCATGCTCACTTCTGTCCTGAATCCCAGTCTCTCATTTTCACATTCATAGCTTTCCCGTGTTGCTGGGTGTTGGGTTGTAGCCGTGTTGGTCTAAGGCTATACTTTACCTTTTGTCTTTCTAATCTCTACCTGTTTACATTCTCACTGACATCCTGCCACACTTTTAGCTTCTCTCACTCCTTGGAGTCTCAGCCCAGCAGAGACTCCCCATGCCTGAAGGAGCGTGACTGCGTGCGAAAGCTTGCTAAGAACCTTCTTTCCAACTGCTCAGTTGGTCTAATAAAAGATATCACATCTACTTGAAGAACCTTGCCTGCCGAGGTTTCCTGTGTACATTTTTATCTCTTTGAGGTAAAAAAGGATATTGTGTTGAGAATGACAAGCATCTGTGTGTTTATAAGGAAACCCAGAAAGAAGCTATATATTATGATCAAGAAAATACGATTCCAAAGAAATATTGTGGATGATATATCAGTTACTGTCAGATGGTTGCTGTCAGAACAATTTCAGGTGTCTCGACATTTGGAGACAGGAGCAACTGGATGTAGTTGTATGCAAGTTGTTGAAATTCCCTCTGTATAAAATGTTAGTGTAACGACAAGATGCAAAATGTCTGTTGTTTTTTGTTGTTTCTTTGGGGACAGTTCAAACCCAATAGAAGGGACAAGAAACAGTGAGAGAGAGCTTTGGCACGGAGAAGTTTGAGCTGATTTCCAGAGAGAATTTGTATCAAAACTGGGAGGCTTAGTATATATACGAGGTCAGCTGAAATGACAGCTTTTAAGGATGTCTACACAGAGAGAGCCAGCTAATTTGAGCAACTCTTTTGTGTGTGTTGCACGTATTTTAAATGAATATGGTGAGCATACCATGGAAATACTTACAGTGCAAAGGTACCTAATAGACAAAATCACTTAACATGGAGTTGCAGTAGAACCAGAGCCTAGCTTGCCCCGTAGGGCAAGCATTGATCTCCCGTGACGTGCAGCACTTATCAATGGAGCTGGCTTAGAGCAGAGTGAAGCTTGGCTGCAAGCAGAATGAAAACCTGTTGAATTAGTAATTTGGGATGCTTGTTCCTCTGCGCTTTATTCCAGCTCCACTGCACACTCCATCCACCAAAGTGGGGTGAGGAAGGTTAAAGCATTTGGCTGTGAAAAGCAGTTTTTGTTAGATATGGGTAGGAGGAAGGGTCCCATCCAGAAACATGTAGCATGGCCAAGCCAGTGGAGTTCTCTGCATGTTTTACCCATGTAGAAAAAGCAAATTTTGGAGCGGGGATTTTTTTTTTTTTGAAAAGTTCCCTAATTTTTATCAACATGGAAAAAATATCTGGAGTGACCAAGACAGGCTCTGGAACATGATGTATGTGAAGCTTAACAATGAGTGTTTTCAGTTTCTGGTTTGTCACTCCCCTGGGACAGAGCATGGGCTTGCAGATGCATTGCTTTTGGGCAGATGGCAGTTACAATGCTAATGACCTCAGCTCACCTGCTTTTTAAAACCAGTAATTACATCTCAATTCCTTGGTATCAAAGTCGTTCTTACTGGGCATGTCTACACGAGATGCTTACTGTGCAGTAGCTTAATAATACCGCGCAGTAGCATGCCAGGCAAAACCCATGCTAATACACTACTGTGCAGTGTTGTTAGGCTACTAAAAAAAACATGTGCGCCAGCTCTCCTGCACAGTAACTGTAGGTACTATGCATTTAGTTAGTATTTCATTAAGCAAGTACTACACTAAATGCGCAATAACTACTGTGCATTAATGAATGTGTAGAATTAGAGATGTGCCCACTGTCTCTAATCCATTGTACCTCAGATTGATCAGTATTGCTTAGCAAGCATGCTTTTCCCCCTCTTTCTTCTCTGCTGCCTTGCCATTTTTGGTTGACTGGTATTCTTTGAATACCTCGCGTACAGTGCAGCAAACCATGACACTTGTTTGTGGAATTCAGAAATGATTATTCATTGCTATTAAGCACAGTATCTGCAAAAGCAGATTGACTTCCTTCATTTCAGATGTGTGATACTGGCTGTGTGTTAGTGTCCACTAGCAAACAATAATTTGATATAAAGATGGGAGTTCTTAGGACATTCAGGCGTTCTTTGCATTATTACATCCAGGCCGCCTGAATTGCTTTTGGAAATGTAAATGTATGCAGTTCCTGAATAATAGCTATCTAACTGCATGGTCCAGGCTGGTGAAGCCTTCACAGATAAAATTTATGACCCAGGCATAAACTCATTGGTTGATGTATCCAGCTCTCTGCTATGTATTCACTGCGCGTTGTTTCAGACAAACAGCTAATGAAAGAATCTCCACTTTTACATCTACCTCACTTTGCTTGTCAACTGAGCAAATGAGCAGCCGCGTCGCTGGAACCATTTCTATCTAGACTGACAGCACACCAAATCCAATAAAGCGAACACAAGCCCGTTGTGTACCGCTGACTGCACGAGCTGAAATGCTTTACAGCGTGGTGTGGCAATTTGGATAATCTATGTACAGTGTGTGAACTTTGGTTAAATGCTATGAAATTGCTGTATTTGTAAATGATTTCATGTGTAGTGAGTCACCAACAGACAACAGGGTCCCTGATTATGTATTGCCCATCCTGTCTGGTAGAAGCAGTGGAATAAACAACGTGATATTTTTAACCCGAATGAGTCAGTCAGTGGTTGATGCCAAGGAGGATGGCCAACCCG